AGACTAAAATAAGTATTAATTAGCTGAAACAAGTTTCGTTTGCAAAATTACGAACAAATACTTCAAACAATTTATGTCAAGCTTAAGTTTAAAAATGTTAATTATATTTTTCTAAAAATTAGACTTTGGGACAAAATTGAACCAAATTTTCATAAAGATTACTTTGTTTTCGAGTCTTTTTGATAAATCCTGACGTAAAAAATAAAAAATAATAAATTTTTAATATTACTATGTTTAATCAAACAAAATTAATTATTTTAATCTTACTGAAATTCACTTTTATACGGAAATTTTTTGAATTTCTTAGCAAATAAATTATTGTAGAGAGAATTTATCAAAAAATGCTTCTTGTAGAAATTAAAAAAAAAAAAAAATTAATGCAATTTTTTTAAATATGATAATTTGTTTGATGTATTAAACTATGGAAAAAGTTTCTAAATCTCTAAATATGCATTTTGTAATTTTTAAATGAGAAACAACGGTTCAATCAATAACATAAATAAAGGATTTGATCCGTAGAATTTTTACTAACAATATAAATAAAATTCTACTTGAAGTAAATTTTGGTCCGGAGGAATTGAATTAATTAAAAATCATCCATTCCTATTTACTCCTCAAATTCTTTACAATGTATTATTGTTATTAAATTTGTAATATTAAATCCTTCTTAGTCCTTTAATGTGACGTTTTTTTTTTGAAAATTTTAACCACAACGTTTAAGCCATAATTTTTGGCATTTAGATAAATTTTTTAAATTAACAGCAAAAGTTGAAAGGTGAATTCACTGAAACGTACGTAAGGTAAAGTACCCAGTAGTTGAACAGGTTTCAAAGTAAGACGTATTTGACCTTACTTTTAATGTATAAATATGTAATTATTAGTTCAAATGAGTGATTTTCATGAAAATATAAACAATTTTGAATTGATTGAAGTGCAAAATAACGCAAATAATTGAATATTTATAATTTGACAACGTTTTTAAGATAGACTATGAAAGGAGTAGTAGTTGAACAATCAATTCTGACAAGCCGCAGTAGTTGAACACTCTGGGAGCAGTAGTTGAACTAATAAAATATATGGCAATAGGCTTACCAAAAATTTTTAACGTTTTATTGAAATATTCAAAGATTTATAACATATTATTGAATATTACTAAAAAAAATACTATAAATATTTAATATGTTCATTTAAAAATGAGAAATATTTGTATTTGATTTATTAATTACATTTTTTATGAATGACAAAGTAAATTTTCAATTATAAATAAAAAAAAACTCAATTCAAAACGTTCAATAATTTTTAACTATACTAATTTTTAGTTATAAAACTTATTTAATTTGCAGTAATTAATACAAATCACAATACTGATCACTAGTCTATAAACCTATTGAAGGTTAGAGTGCTGTTAAAATTATACGGTCCCAGCTTGTTCAAGTTCTGGGGTATCGCTTTGAAAATTGGGAGATATAGTTGAACGCTAAAATTTAATATAAAAATTATAGTTAATGTCTTTGCAAAAAATATGTATTATTTAGAAAAGACTACTTCATTGGGTGGTACAATTTTTTTCACTTAAAATGATGATACACCGTTTTTTTTACTGATTGTTCGGTTTACGGTTTAGTACCTTTTTCATGAAAAAAATAGCATCTATCGGTGATTCTCAACATGTCAACTTTAAAGTTAACAATAATGTAATTGTTTTGATTTATAATTGAAAAAACTTATCAAAATCAATTACTGTATCATTGAATAATTATAACATGCGCATATGACTCATAATATATATACAGATTTTGTATATTACAGCAATTCTAAAAGTCTGTTCAACTACTGGTCCCATTTTTAGAAGTATTCAAGTACTGGGTACTTTACCTTATAAGAACATGAAAAAAATATTATTTAGATCATTTCAAACCAGGAGTTGAACTTCGGTCTCCACGATTACATGTCGGGTCATCTGGCATTTAACTTACCAAATTTCACGTCTGTAAAGATCTAGGTTTTCAATGAATTTACATTATGATTTTTCTGCCCTTTGGCTGGAATGTGACAACTTTCTAGCCGCTGCGCTAAACGAAGTTGCCACATTCCGACTACGTCAAGCAGAAAAATAATGTCAACCTAGGTCAACAATTACATGTCATCTGAGACTTTTCTTATTTTACTGACCTAGGTATGCAATATACTATTTATTGTTAATTTGACAAAATCACCAAAAGCTAAAAATTTAGTAATTAAAATTTTAATTAAAAATCACGTTGAATTGAAGGGTTGGGAATGATTTAATATCACAAATTAAAAATTTACCAATTTCAAACATAACAACTACTAATTAGTATTAGCATGATTATTATATTGAATTTTTTTTTGTTAAAAAAGTTATTTAAATTAAAAAGCGTTTTTAAAATAATGAAAGTATGAATAAGTAATAAGTAGCAATGAGTGTAAAATTTTAATTATATGATGGAATTAAAAAAAAGCAGAAGCTGATGGGTGATGCGAGGGTGAATTATTTGTAGGGGCATTAAATAAAAATACGGAATAAGGGTGAAAAAATATGGATAAGATCAAAGTACGTTGGATGATTTAATTACGACACGGTACTCATCACTCGTCTAGTTGGCAGTGTTGCTAAAATATCAAAAGAGTGCCGGATTATTTGTTGTGAGCGAGCGAGGGTGTGTGGGCGTCTGGGTGGGTGGATGGAACGACGGATGGAAGCGAAGGGTGTACGGCTTGGTACACTTGCAGGGCATTTGTTGGGTCTGGGGATGCTTTTTCAAGTAACGGTGTCGGAAAAGAAGATACGGGATGACGAAAAGAGAGGAAAGTTAAAAAAATATAGTTAAAGAGTAAAGAGAATGTAAGTAAAAACCGAGGGAGATAAAGATGGAGATGCCAATAGCAATACCGAGTAATGAAAAAATAACTTTTTAACATTATAGGGTGCTTTGAGTGCAAGTTTATTCACCCGTGCTTACACTTTGTAAATTATATTTTAAATGAGCTTTCGCTGTACTGGGTTAATTTAAACATTGACTATTTTTGACAAGAGATGTGAGCGAGCTTTTTTTATAAGATTGATAAGAGCTCGTGTTTAGATTCTAATTGAGGTTAATAGGGTGAACGTTTTTTGCTCAAAAAAGTATGAGTTCAAGTGCCGAAAATTTTTTAAGTTTTAGTTGAATTTAAATGAATTTTAAATTGGTTTAGTTAATTTTTATTTTAAATAACATTATGATGAAGAATATGTATGAAAAATCTAAAGCTATGCTTCATGTGCAATAATTGTAATCTTTTGTAATACATGTACTACATTATCATACCTATTTATTTTTGAGACCCTGTTATTGGCCTTTTAGCTGTTGGGCTTTTAATAAAGTAAATAAATAAATGAATAAAATTGTTAAAACTAATGTTATGGTTAAAATTTATTAAATAAGTAATTTTAAAATTCAAATTTATTTTTTAGATGAGAAATTTTTTCAATGAAAAATTTTTTATTCAAATTCTAGTTATTTTGGAAATAATTTAATTTTTGATTAAATATTTTTATATTTTTTTATTAAAAAACTAAGAGAATGGATAAAAATAGATAATTAGTTGAAAATCATGATATTAAAATAATTTCTACAATAATATTATTTATAAAATTTATAAAATCCATTTTAAATTAGGTAAAATTTGCTCAGTCAAACTTGATAGGCTGAGTGAGATATTATTATATTTACTATTTGCTATATATAAGTGATTATTGATAAGAAAAATTATTATTATAATTTAATATGTACTCGTTCTATGCACAGATGCTATACGCACCTCTATAGAATTTTTTTGTAACGAGAAAGATAAATAAATAAATATTTAATCAAAATTCAAATTTCTAAATAAAATTTAATTGTTACAATTCATAAAAATAAAAAGTTATAAATTTCATTTTATTTTATTTAAATAAACAAACCCAACAGCCTAGGCCATTAACAGGGTTAATAATACAGTAGTTAGTATACAAAAATAATTTTTGATGTATGACAAGATGATTTATAACTAGCATAGTGATTTCACATATAAATTCCAAAATACTAAGTGAATGGTCTAGCGATGAGTTAGCTATTGCAACTCATTCACAATAATAATAAAAAAAGAAAGAGAAAAAAAAAAATAAAGTATAAAACAAAATAGCAATACTCCTTATTACCATTACACAATTGCCCATCATCAACGCCACTTAATTACTAATTTGCCAAGTAATACTGTTACATATCCATGAGGACAATCAAACGGAAATTTTGATGAGAAATTTTTAGAAGAATCTTTTAAACTAATGGAAAAGTAAAATTTTATTAAATAAATCAAAAATTTGTCAATTTAGACATTCGAATTCATTTTTAAGATGACAAATTTTTCATCTGAAAAATTTATTCCTGAGCCAAAGTTTTTAACCAAAATTCGAATTCAGAATGAGAAATTTTTTGACAATGATTGCTAATTGGGATAAATAAAAAAATAAAAGTTTTTTTTAATTATTGACTGAACATAGTTTTACAAAATTTGGTACTGTCAAAATTTTTATAAAAAAAACTACACCTGTTTTGACTAATGTATTTGAAATGAAAGACTTGTTAAGATATCTCTATCTATAGAAATTTCTATCTATCTACAGAAATTCAATTTAGAAATTTCTATCTATAGAAATTAAAAAATTCTGAAACGGGAGAAGATTTTTCAGAGCTTCCACAAATTTCTATGAGATCTATTTAAAAAATTGAAGGACGAAAGATAAAAATTCTTAGCAGAGAAGCGAGCAATTGCGATTGAAAATAATTTTAAAATTCAAAAGACATAAAGCTGACTGGAGGAACTGAGTAGATTGAAGCAGAGAGTAACCACGAACATGGACGATACACAACACAAAGAGTCTGTAGAGCAGTGAGAGATGGGCTCAAAAAAATTGATTGCAATTCGGCGCCACTCTCAACGCGTAGTCCAGCATGCTATAAAAGTAATGCATTTCGTGCATAACGAGCCACTCCACCCCGTTCTTCCCCCGGTGTACTGTGACTGGAGCTGGATAAGAGCGATGCGGGAAAGAGGGAAGAGGGTGGATAGGGAAATCTACCCCCACGAACCTGGTCCACGTCTACGATAAACGGTTCTGTCTTTTATTTTATTTCTTTATTTTTTTCCGGTACCTCGTTTGCTCCCTCTTCATCATTTTTTCCTCAGCTCGAACGCGAAAATCACGAAATTGCCTAGGCCATCCGGCACATCGCGTTCGAGAAAAAAATACAGTACTAACAGTCAGCTGGACTTACAATAAACTCTAGTTGGGGAAAATGCGCTTAAATCCTATCTTTTTACTCTTTAAATTGGAAATTAATGAAAATTTTCAACGTCGATGAATTGATAATTCATATATGACATGACTTGTCACGACGTCTGTGATCACAATTCTTAACAAAGCTTAATGAACCTCAATATATTCATTCTTTCAACAATTCCCGAGGTCAAGCTTAAAAATAAACTAGATCAGTCGGATAGTTCGCAAATTACGACAATTCAAAATTTGGAAAAAATTCAAACTATCAGTCTTTTAGTGATTCTTTTTGAAATAACTTCTGAACACGGTAATTAATTGAATGTTTGTAAAATACATCTGAAAGTTCATTAAATAAGCTTTAATTTCTACACAGAAAAAAAAAACCTTGCACTAAAAAAATTTTAAGAAAGACAAAAGTTATTTTGGAGTAAGAAGAAATTTTCTTGAGCCAAAAAAATTTACCCTCCAGTCAAGAATTTTTTTTTTCAGTACATGTCTATCTGTTTTGTTTTTTTGACCGAAAATGAGATTGTTTTAAATATTTGGTATCATCTTTGAAAGATATATTCACAAAAAAAAAAACACATAAAAAGTCGAAATTTCATTTTAAAGACTTTCAAATCTGTAAAAATTCATGAAAAAATTCCACTTTTTGGGAATCAAATTTATATCTATGCAAAAAAAAAAACAACACTTTCATATAATTACCTTTTTTTACGATAAAAATCTTTTATCACTAAAGTTTGAATTTATTTATTTTTTTTTTTTTTCAATGATTAAGATTAAATTATCTTGATAATTTATTTTTTGTGGACACTTACAAAGTAAAAAATTTATTTAATTTATTAAAATTATTTCACCTAAAAAAATAACAAAACTTCTTAAAAATAGTGGAAGACTCACTTATATATAACTTTAATTACCATGAAACCTGTCGATGTGCAAAATGAAAAAAAAAATAGAACTAAACTAAAATACAATTTGAAAAAGGTTTAAAGTTTACCTTATTGGGTGTAATGACTTGCAATAATTGTGGGTCTTCTGGGTGAGCTCTTTGGTGGTGTTGTTGTTCTTTCTGATGCTCAAGGGTGCTCTGGGGTGAGGAGTTGTCGATGTTAACCTGATTATCAGCGGTGGACGTGGTCGTGGTGTTGGTTCTCTGGCGCCCGAAATTGGGGTGACTCTGGGAATTGAAACGAGCGGGTTGTTGCTGTACAGAATTCGGAACAGACAGACCGCGCTGCTCCAGAGGCTGATGATGCGGTTGATGAGCTGGACGGGATGTTGCTGGCTGCAGTGTCGCGGGGAACGTCGGCACCGCCAGCGGGACGAATAGCATCGGGCTGCCGAGAATGGGCGCACTACCCCCAGTCACTCCGCCCGTCTCTTCCCTACACCTGCATTCAAACCAAACAGTTGTTATTTTTTTTTATTTTTACATACTTTTTTATTCAATTATTTACTCACCGTTATTAAAATTTTAATTATTTATTATTATTATTATTATTATTATTATTATTATTATTATTATTATTTAGTTATTTTATTACGATTTATGTTTGTACACTAAAAAAAAAATTGAGTTAAATTGAGAGAAAAAATTTTGAGCCAAGAAAATAATTTTGAAAAGATTTCTTGACTTGAATTAAGATGAAAAATTTTGAAATTAAGTAAAATTTATTTAAACCAAGAAAAATTTCTTAATTTAAGAATTTTTCTAGTCAAATTAATAGAATGAAATTCTTCCAAATTATTTACTTGATTCAAATAAATTTTTTTTTCTAGTTTATAAATAAAGTTCTTGAGAATTTTTGATAAAAGTGAGTCGATAAAAAAATGTAAGAACCCATGACGTGAGAAAAGTTGATTCAATATATTGTTATTGTTATTGTATCGCAGTGATAAATGGACCGTTAATACACCCTACAATTTATAGATATTTTCAAAAGTAATAGGTGATAAATCAATTTTTAAGAAATGTAATCTTATTTTAATGATTACATACTAAGAAAAAAAAAATTATTTGATTCGAGAAAAATATTATTTTCAAAAGAGAATATTCGAATTTATTCAAGAAATTTGAACAAAATATTAAAACTTTTTTTTGAACCAAAAATATAAATTTTTTAGAGACTTAAAATTTTCAATCCGAGACAATAAATTCCCTACAAAATAATTTTTTTATATTTCTTTATAATCTTTATAAAGTAAAATATTTTTTTAGTTATGATATTTTTGATTGAGAGTTCAACATTTCAATAGAAAATTGAAATTCTTTAGTAATTTTTCGCTGTTGATAATTTAATTTAATTAAATTATCGATAAAAAAAAATTCCAATGAAGAATAAAAGCCAGCAACTAATTAAAAAATTCCATAAAAGTATTTATCGAAAAAACAATAAATAAACAAAAAAAAAAAAACTTTATTAAAGAAAAATATTTTATTCAAAATTCTCAAAAAAAAAAAATTAAACAAAATTTTCCAATTATTAACTAGCGAACTAATAAATTAAAATTCAGTTTTTAGATGATCAAAAAAATATTTAGATATTTTCGAATTAAAGTCCACTGAAAAAAAAAATTCTTTAAAACATTACCAATAAAAACTAAAAATTCACAAATTTCTCCTCCACAAAAATTCAGAAAAAATTCTACTTACTAAATACTTCTTCCTTATTTCAAACAAAAAAAATAAATAAACTTATTTTTCCCAAAATTTCTCCAAAAAGATTTAAAAAAAATTTCACCATCTGAAACCTTTTCCTTATTTAATCCAAAAACTGAAAAATTACCTGCACTCCTGAGTCAAAGGTTGATGATGAGGATGGGTGTAGGGGGCGGCCCTAACGGAGGTAATAGACGCCACCCTCGCGACCCTCAGCGACAACCCGGGCCGGTGCGCGTTGTGCAAGACCGGTTGGGAGTTTTGAGCGTTGTTGTTGTTGTTGTTGCTGTTATGAATGCAGCAGCAGGAGCGGCAACCGGGGGCCTGAGTGGACTGCCCGCTCTGGAGGAGGTGGGAGATGGCTCCAGGGCCCCTGGGTCTTGTGGAGGATGAGCACGGGTAGACCCCAACCAGGCAACCCACCACCGCAGCCCCGGGGCCCGATGCGCTCCGAGCCAAATTGCTCGGTGCCGAGGCCACTTCTTTCCGACACACTTCTTCCTTTGTTTTTTCCCTTTCTTCTTTCACTTTTCAATCTCTATCCAACTTTATCACTAATTTTCCTATTTATTACACTTACCGCAAGTTGTTATTATTTTAATTAAATATTATCGCACACTTGCACGCACAGTTGTAACATACTGCCCTCACAATTCAAAAACTTACACTTATTTTCAATAAATATTTATTATTTTAAAATTCAACAATCATCAATTATCAATTAAAACAAATTTAATTTAATCTCAACAAACAAACAATTGATGCGTTTTTTCAACAAGTACACGTGCCGGCGCGCCAGTGTCTGATCAAACGAAGGTTGTTCCACTTATTGCGCGGATTAGTCAGCTTGTTGCTTCTTCCTTCACTTATTCGGGTCCTACCGGCTTTTTTACTCGCAGATATTGATATCGAGGAATTCCAAAACTTAATCGACTCTGCAATTTTAAGTATTAATTTTTATAATTTTATTTATGACAATTTTTGCTGAAGAAAATTGTAAGAAAATATTTTTAATACTTTTGGTTGTTATTAGAAGTGATATAGGTGTTAATTTTATCAGCCGGTACAGGGTTAGGCTAACCCGTGATGTCGGAAGGTCGCTCGCCGACTGACTAGTACTTCCGTTTAGCTGTTGTGGATTCAGATATAGTGGGGGTGCCGGTTGGTTGTTGTGTGTATGGGTGGCAACTACCGCGACAGCAAAACACCGACAAATTTTTTTTTTTTTTTTTTTTTTTTTTTTTTTTTTTTCAATTAATTCTTGATTATATTTATTACAATTTTAATTTATTATTAATTATTGTTTTATTGATTTATTGTTAATTAATTTTTTATCAATTTATAAGCAATCAATTTTAAATTAATTTATTTTATACCTAACAAATTTTTTATTTGTCTATCGTTATTTTTGTCAAAAAAATCGGCACTAATTATTAAAAAAAAAATTTTTTTTTCAATACAAATTTAATTATAAATTATTTTTTATTTGTAACTTTGTCAATAATTTTTAATTAAAATTATTTTTGACACTTAAAAAATTTTTAATTAAATTTTTAAAATTGTTTAAAAAAATAAATTTTTAAACAAAACAGCACAATTTTTTAATAATTCTTTTTAGTCACCACAAGAAACTCCACGTGATTAATTAACACTCTTAATTTCTTCGGATGGATCAAATTGTGTGTAAAAAAAAATAAATTGATAAAATTATCAAAATAATTAATTAATAATAAATAGTTTAAACGAAAAATGACTTTGCAGGAGCAAACTTGTGAGCACTGCACAGCACTGTTGTTTTGTTTATTTATCTGAATAACGAGGCCGGTAACGGTAGGTGGGTGCGGGGGAGTAAGTGAGGCACCGGCGAGCACTGTAAGTAGTGTAAGGATAGAATAAGAATGTATGAAACGGTCGTAACGGTAGTGCAGCGCCGACTGGAACGTAAAGATGAGGAAGCTTGCGTGTATCGCTATGTATCGTGGAGACTGAGTGGAGCTCCACAGTCTGCTCTATATAATAGTAGTAGTATAGTAGTAGTACCAGTACTGTAGTGGTAGTTTAAAGATGGTGGTATTGCGATGAGGGGCGAGTGAGAGTGAGGGGCGACGTCGGCTCTGGTGGGAGAAACTCTACGAGCTTGCGATCTCTATGTATATCCACGGATTTTTTAATTATTTTCTTGAGCTTTACTTTGGAGGTGGGTTTTAATCACGATCGATAAGGGTTTTTAATTTAGGAAATTTTTTTCTTCTTTTGGAAAAAATTAAAAATTTTTTAAGAATTTTTGGTAGAAATATTTTACACAGGATTTTTTAATTTTTAATATTTAATGACTTCAATAAATTATTTTTTAACATTAGGTGACTTAGAAAATATTAAGTAATTATTAAGGAGTATCTTTGGAACTGAATGTGTCTTATTTGCAATTTTAAATAAATATTTTATACTATGAAACAAGATATTCAGTATTTTTTATAATTTTTTATAAAAAACGACCAATTATCTGATCTATTGAATTTTGTTTTACATATTCATGAGCTATAACATTATAAAAAATTTTTAAATAAAATTTTGATAGTTATGTTTTATTTGAAAGTCTAAATAAATGTTTCTTAATCGTTAATAATAAATAATTATTAATAGTTAATATATTGTGTATTAATGATACTAATGCCAAAAAGTATCTAGAATTAGACACCTTTTTAATTCTACATACACGGAAAAAAGAAAACAGGAATAATTACATGACACTGAAGTTAGTAGATGTTTAAAAATGTATGATTTTTTTTATTAATAAAAATACAACTAAAAAGATATTTATAAAAAATTGCACTTATAGTTTTTAAAGTTTTTTACAAGTGAAATTTTTTTTTTTTAAATTATTTCATTGAAATTTTTTCAATAAAAAATTTCTGAAAATTTTTAAATATCAGCTAACTTCATTTTCATATAATTACAGTATAAAATGTTAAATCGGTCTCGTTGTAATCAAAACTAGAAAAATTACAGTTTGAAATAACATTTTTCTAAATTCAATTTTTGAATTTAATTTTCAGAGCTTTCAATGTAACATTCTATAATATAATTCTTATAAAATCTGTAATAATTACAATCTAAAACTGTAATTTTTCAAGTTTTCTTTTTTCCGTGTAGTATCTATAAAATATTGCAAATAAAATACCTTAAATTCTATGATTATTTATTAATTATATTATAAATTAATAAGTAAATTTTTCTCCCAAAAAAATCTTCATCAAAAGTTAATAAGTAATTTCTTACGCTTAATAAATCAACAAATTATTTCTTAATGAATAAGAAAAATAATTTTCTAACACATCTGACAAATTCTAAAAGAGCATACATCAACATATTTGCCCTTATGGCTTTACAAAGCTAACATATTCAAAGTTTAAAACTGAAAAAAAAAAAAAATTATAAAGCTAAAAAATCATGTGTTTCAAATTATTCACCCTTTTAGCTTTAGAAACTTAAAAATTTTAAGATCTAATGTTAAAAATTCGTAAAAAAAAATTATTTTTAGCAATCGCTCTGCGATTATATTGTAAGCTTAAAATTGAAAAAAAAAAAATTCCAAATCCAAAAGCCCTTTTGGCTTAAAAAAAAATTTCTGACATTAAATTTGTTTCTACTGATCTTGAAATTTTGAACGATTTTGAGCTGAATAAGAAAAAAAATTTTTTATACATTTTTGAGATTTGTCACGTGAACAGTTAATGAGAAGTATCTTCCTCCAGTGTAACCCTCTAAAAATGAACAACCACCTTGAAAAACGTACGAAATACTCGGCGAGTTTTAATATCTTGAGAAGCGAAATGGAAACAATTATTACAATAGCAGTTATAACACTAAATTGGCAATTGAATGCCTTTTATTCGGATCGATGTATGCATACGTAGGTATAGGATCGAGATGTATTCATATGTACAATACATGCGTGGTCTCATCATTGGAGCCCTCTGTCGCACGTACGGCCGGGATACGTTTGTACGATATGCAGCCATTTGCATACATATAGGGTCATTATAAATATACTGGAGTTCGTACAACTCGTCTCTCCATCGGGCAGACCATCAGACCATCAGACCCAGAGAACCGTATCACGATCCAACAACCTACAACCTACAACCTACAACCTACCGATGCTTTCGTTTATCCTCTATTGCCACAGTTTCCCATCTTACAATATTTCCCCTTTCCACTTTCAGTTTTGTTTTTTGTATTTTTTTTATATTGTCCATTTTATACTTGAAATTTTTCTTTGCTTCTGTATTGGCTATTTTTTTACCACTCTGTAAGGAATTTTTTAGCATAGAAGTAATCAATTTTTAATTGATTTAATCCTTCCAGAGTTAAACTCACTTCAAGAAGAATTTTATTTATATTATTAATAAAAAAAAATGCTCGGAGTGAATTCTTTATTTTTTTTTTAAATTATCATTCATTATAAAATTACAAAATTTTTAAATTGATATAAAATTTTTCTTAGTTTGATATAACAAATTTTTGATATTTAAAAAAATTGTATCAATTTTTTTTTTTTTAATTTTTACAAGTAGCATTTTTTGAAAAATTTATTATTCTTGAAAAAATATTAGTACCTTTAAAAATCAACCAGTTTTTTGTTGTCAATGTGCTAACTCATTATTTTACTGATTGTAAATTAATGCACTGAGAGGTTTATAAATACACGAAATAGACAGATAACTTTATCAAAAATTAATAAAACTTTAAGTACCAAAAATGCGTTTTTTGTGGCAATAAAATTTTTCAATCTACTTCCCAATAATCTAAAAGCTCTTGAATTTAAAAAGAAATTATTAAGCAAGAATTTTGGGAAGTGGATTAGAACTATTGAATTATAAATTAAGATATTATATTTAATTGCAAAATATTGTATAATTAGTAGTAAGAAAACTTATACTTTGTAGATTGCATTAGCTAATGATTTTTTAACTTGATGTATATATAATTAAATATTATTGTATTTTTCTGGTGTCTATGCACAGGTGTCATGTACCTCTATAGAATTTATGCTAGAAGTAAAATAAATAAATAATACGTCAGCAATTGTCCACAAAACTTAAGAAAAAATAATTTATATAAAAATTTAGTTCAATGTTCTAAAGTCAAATTTTTGGAAAAATTGTAATTAATATTTACAAACTTAAGCTTGAGAAAAATTATTTAGAGAAGTATTTAGTAATTTGACATATGACACATGTTTTAGCTAATTAAAATTGATTAAACTTAGATAAAGTCAAAACCGTTTTATTTACAGCGACTTCACTTGAAGCAACGTGCCGTTAAGTCCCGTCTCTATTACATATAAAATTCTCAAGCCGAAAACCGCTTATAACAACATTGCTTATAGCGACAAATCGTTTATAGCAACCAAATTCACAGTATTTACAGTAGTAAACTCATAGTAAAATGCATTGGTTATAACGTCTGATAAATACTTTCATTCGTTTTGCAGTAAATATACTTATGATGTCATCAAATTCTTTTCCAGCTTTAAATTAATGAGAATCACAATTTTCATTTTAATTAATGATCTTACAAGTTGTAGAAAACAATTTTACAATATTACAATCTTAAAATAATTCTCCGACAAAGTAACTGATTATTTTCAAAAATAATTATGTTATTAAATCTATATTATTAAATGTATTTTATTAAAATGTTTAATAAATTAATTTATGTGTATAGTTTAATAAATGTTAAATAAACTTTCATCAAGTTTTTATTAATTTAATAAACATTCATCAAGTACTGTTTTTTAATTTAATCCGTGCATTTTTGCTTTCGAATATAATTTTTGCTAATTTTTACTTATAACGACTGTCGGCTATAACGACCATTAATCCCTTTCAATGTCGTTATAAACGGTTTTCACTGTATTTTCCTTATTAAAATTAACATTCACTCCGCTGAAAAAAAACTCCAGATTTACTGCGTACTCAGTGATGAAAATAAAAATTCACTCCCGATTTTTCCCAATGCAAAATTGAGATATTTTCCATTAGTTTTATTCTTCTGAGACTCTAAAAATATGCAGTAGGTGGATAAATATACAAGTTGGAATTTAACGAGTATAGATTTTGGATTTTAGTTAAATATCTGGCATTCCACCGGGAGTATGCTTTGTTGAGAAATCCAGGATGTCATTCTCATCTCTACTCGGCGTTCTCTGGCAGGCACACCGTCAGAGAATCTAGAATCTCTGCACACAACTCT